TCCAAAGAGCCGTTTCAGATATGCACATTTGAGTTCCAGTTTCGTGGTTTTTTCAGCACTCTTCTTTACTGAACCCACAACTCTGAACTTCCACGATTTTCATGAAACGTATATATAATAGATTGCATTTCGGAGCAAATGAAGTGATGATCTGAAGCTGTGAAGCTGTTCTGACGGGACGCGTTATCTCTTTGGTAGCGCCGCATCGATCAATCAAAAGTTGATTAAAATTTCATTGGATCCGTCAACAAAAACACCGAATTTTAATTTTGCTCCGATCTAAATTAATATCTGAACGCTCTGTTTGGGATGGCAACGAAAACACGCCCCATAATTATACTCCTAAACATTTTAATGGAATTCCTTTTAGACTGGCTTCAGTCGCTGTCTAAGGGGATTCAGGTAGAGGCCTGGTGATTCTTGAGCGAAATGTTTCAAAAACTCCTAGAGTTTAAAGGAGAAGCTCGCCAGTTGATTTGAAGAGCTTGAAGGGATCAGCAAAAAGAAAAACTGCCAGTAAAACACAACTTTACGACTACTGTGTGCGCTGTTGTTTAGTGGGTTGGTGCAGATCGAGCTGTTTGCACCAACCCCAAAGAGCCAGGTTTGAACCGCCAGCGCGTCCAAACTTGGGCGTGCATATAATTCTATTTAAAAGCGAGGTGAATAGTAAATTAATCTTAATTTAATCTCGCTGCCTTTATAAGCAGAATTATGGCTTGTTAATTATAGCCTACAATAAATTTATTATTTTAGCGGCAATAGCCTATGCCCGAAGAATTAAAACGAAAATCTTTTGTGAGTGTTTTTTCGCTGCCCGCGACATGCGAACCTTTCATGATTAATGGATTGCGCCGGGATTATTATTGCTTCAGCACTTCTATTCCCAACTTGGTTTGGCATCTGGTTGCTGAGCCGCAGAAAAATGCAGGAAAATGTTACTGGCTTCCTTTCACCTACCTAACAATCCTTGAACAAACCAACCGAAGCGAATTGTGAACACCTCAACTGACTGCAGAATTCAGAATTCAACACTTGCGTTTCTTTCAGTTTATTTCCCTTTTCCTTCGGCTTTTCAGTGTATTTTATTAGCGGCAATTTGGGGCCCGTTTTGCTGATTATTTTAAAAGAGGGCTCATTAGGGGTACAACTGCGTCGCAACCATCATTTTCTTAACCATAAAGAAATGTGGCCCGCAATTGAGTCATTAGGTCCGGTCAAAAATCCCCACCTTATCGGGTATCAGATCAGGAAAATGGGTTGTTGTGCCCATGGTAGTCACACGCCATTTCCTGCCTTTCCTGCAAGTTTGTTGGAAAATCATTTTCTCCAGTGAACTGCGTGTTTAAATTAATTTCAGGTTGTTTCGTGGTCGTTATTCTCAATTTTTCCTTTGCGGCTTTCAGTTAGCCACTATTTACGGGCGTTTGATCCATGTGTTTATTTGCGAAAGCCGGTTTGGCAGAGTGGGTTCAAGGGAAAAATGTTTTTTGCCAATCCCAATTTTTCGCTCATTAATCGCAAAGTTATTTTTATGTATTTTTGTCTAATTGTTTTGAAAGTCGCAAATCGTTACGTGGCCTAAAGTGCAAGCTGCTTGAAAATCACATATATTTCCACCCTAACAAAGTTGTACTCTAACTGTCTACAAAATTTATAGGGATTCGCCCTCTTTCAGAGGTTTTTGAAGACTTTTGAAATTTATATCTCCTACACGGCTCAAGATCATTTTTCCGCCGTAACGACCTGTTCAATGTGAAACCAAATTTTATCATTGAGGATTAATCAAAAGTTCCACTCCTCTAAGGACATACAAGCAAAAGGACAACATTTTTAAGGTTCGAGAAGTTTTGAATACCGTGTATCTCAGAAACAGTTGGAAATAGATAATTGGTAAGGACCTTTTCGATGGCCTTTTTCCACAACTGCATTTTTTCTTCAATGTGTTCTTAGAAATTCCCAGCTCAAAATTTCCCTAATCAGATTTAATGAATCATTTTTAAGCTCTAAGGAAATAGAAGCCAAAAACAAAAAACGCTTTCAAAGTGCTCTTGTGTGCGGGAAACTTTAAAAAATATCTCTCGAGTTACAACGACGGTTTGGATAAAGCATTTTGAGAGTTCGACTAGAATTGAAGTCAAATACCTTCAAAACTGAATGCAAATTTTTATTTAATGAATCATTTTTAAGCTCTAAGGAAATAGAAGCCAAAAACAAAAAACGCTTTCAAAGTGCTCTTGTGTGGGAAACTTAAAAAAATATCTCTCGAGTTACAACGACGGTTTGGATAAAGCATTTTGCGAATTCGACTAGAATTGAAGTCAAATTCCTTCAAAATTGGACGCAAATTTTGTTGAATTTTTAGACATTTTCATGTACAACCGGGAAACGGTTGAGCCTATCGGAACAATCAATAAAACCTTTTTTCACATTAAAAAATTGCTGCAAAAAAGCTGCAATTTGAAAAAATTATTAAAAAAAAAACCATGCACAACATTATTGCTAGAAGAAACCAGCGGCTTTTTAAGCTCGTTGCGGCTCACTCAATCAAACATTTCGTACTCTTCAACTCCATATTTATCACAGAATCCTCCTCTTGACTTTTCCTTACCTTATTTTCGGGCCTCATCATTCGAATATTCTTCTACTGTTGGTCGATAACGGCAAATAAAACATACTCTTTAATGGAATAAATAGTGAATTTATTTGAACTATTTTACGTTGATATTCTCAGCATCTAACTCCATGCTCTTAGAAAATTAATCAGGTATTACCATGTTTCGATGTTTCAGTGCAAATTACATTTATACAATTTTTTTCTTTGAATGGAACATTTTKAGATTTTCATTGCGTGATCGGAAGAACCCAAGGAAAATATGTCGACCTCAAGAAAGTATCTGTACATTGCGACGCTTACCACTAAAAATCTACAGRAAAAAATGGGTAGTTGTACATTATAAATASAGAAACAGTTCTGGCATTGGTAGCAAACGCCTTATGGAATTGGGCGGCTCTTTACACAGGGTTTTATCATAATCTATGTACATTTGAATAAATAATCAGACTAACAACTAAAGATATGTTTCTAGATACCTCTGTACATACTACGACATATACTGTTATATGTTACACAGGAGAAAGTATCACAAAATAAGTCTAATATACATTTGTGCAATTTTTTTGGAATAGATGGCCCATTCCTCGGAGGAATAAGCCATGGAAAAGAAAATCCGCTTCAAAACATTTATCACACAAAAGGACATTTTTATTGCACGGTTATTGTTAGGGGTTATCCGGGATTGGCAACACTGATATGCGACATTTCTGGCACTGCTTCCTCCCATTGAACTACATGTCATCAGTGCTACCACGACACTTTTCCGGCGAAAAATAAATAGAACATTTAAACTCTTCAAACACAACAATGCCCATCACAACCATGACTATGTACACTGCTCGCCATCCTTCAGGTGTTGTTATTCAATAGGGAATCTATACTGAAGGGGTTCGGTCGCTGTCGGCTCTTTTCGTCGTGTTCGTGCGTGCTCGACGACAGATCCATACCGTTATCACTGGTGTCAGTCACTGACGTTGCAAACATCGAATTGTCACCGAAGTTTTCCGATTCGGCGCCCGAATCGCCCACCACGTCAATGTCACTGTCACTGTCCATTGCGTCAGTACCACGCTGGGCGAGATATTCGCGTTTCAGGGCGACTAGATCCACAGTGATGCCTGCAAAGGTGTAAGTTTGCGTGTTAATTAAGCAATTTGTTTTTGATTGGGTGACGGTTTTTACCTTTAGCTCGCAGTTTTCTCGCTTGCCTTTCCAGCGCTTTCTGGAGCTTTTTCCGACGTCTCGCCCTTTCTCTCGCTCGAAGCTCCGCAGGTGGGATCGGTTCGCCCGAGCAGGATTGGGGGTGGGCGTTGTGGGCCGGCCGGCCTGGACCCTTTTTCGTGTGCTCCTTTTTCCTCCATTTGGCCCGTCGATTTTGAAACCACACCTGAAAGCAAAAGACGAACGTCACAAATCATCCCCCATCAATCTAATGAATGCGCCACTTTGGCCCATTTCGGGGACTTTAGCCGTTCCAGATTCTAATCCCGAAACGGAGTTCGCAATCTCACGCCAACCACGTTGCACCTGTTCATTTTGGGGCCCCGTCTCAATTTCGAGAAAGTTTTTTAATCGTTCCGGCAAGTGTTATGATGTCTTTATCTGGCACATTACCATAACGGCTACCATTAAAGCGGCGGAACAGAGAGAAAACAAGACACCGAGTCGGGCAAAAATTAATGAAAATTAGGCTGCCAGTTTGGCTAATATTGCTTACCTGCACGCCAACACTCAGGCCCGGGCTTCGCTCACTTTATGCCTGGTTTGTTTGCTTGTAGGCTTTTATTCAACTTCTTTTGGCTTTTTTCGAATATTGGACTTCAACTACGATTTTACCAGTCATTCAGTAGTTTGGAACTTGTTATTCAAAAAATTATACCCACTGATAAAGGGTGGGAGTTTTTCAATTTAAAACATATAACTCCAACGCAACTCTGAAGATGCTTGGCAAGAGTGCTAGCGAAACGTCAGAACGAAATCACTGTCGACGACGGCCTAAACACCCAAAAGTTGCTAGAAATTCAAACAATGAAACGGATTTTATTTGGAAAGAGCTGACTACTTTTCGCGTTAATTCTTCTTCCATGCAGTAAAATATGATTGAAGATGGGGGCAAACATATTTTTTC